ACACCATGTTGAAGGGGTGCTTAATTTTCCATTGTGTAAATTTATTACAACCTAACCATACTCCTAGTTTTGAACACTTTTCTCTATTAAGTTTCTATTAGAAGTAATACTACAGTGAGTGACTTTGCACATGCATCTTTATTTACAAAATTTTTTTTTCCTCCTAGGATAGATTTTTAGAATGAAAGTTACTACTCAAAGAGCATGAACATTTAACCCACCCTTTAAACTTTCTCAGATTCTCTTCGGCATACTTTGGCCTGCCTTCCCTTATGACCTTTCTGTGTTTTGTTCATATTTTAAATACAGAACTCATCATAACGTGTTGTGATTTTTTTATCGGCTTCTCTCTCAATTAGAAAATATATTTCCTGAAGACAGGGCTGTATCTTCTTATTTCTCATATGCGTAGAATCAGCACAGTATCTGGTATGATTAAATGAGTTATTCTTATTTAGCATTTCAGAAAAATGCAAAAGTATTAATAAATATAACCATATATGTATATACATTTATGTTTATTCTTTTCTCTCTAACAGGATGGTATTTCAGGTGCAATTAATCAGTTTCAAAACACGGTGTTATCAGTTCCTAATCTTGTTCCTGACCCATATTTTGATGCTTTCACCAGACCTTTCATTAACAAAAAATTCGAAGAAAAAACTTGTGGATTTGGTCCAAGCTTATCAGCAGTATTTGATGATGACAATACTTTTCACACAATTATTTTAAAAATAAAGGTATATTTACTTTTACTGAAACTAACCATTAAGAAATTGAATAATATTTTTTTTCTTTCTTATCCTTAAATTGAATGCTACTTAATCTCTAAATGTTAAACTGGTTTTGTTTTTTTTTTTAAGTCCTGGTAGATCAGAGCCCTGACAACAGGCATAGGAATTAAAGTAGGTAGCACTGCTGCTGGAGTAGAAAAGAAGGTTAAAAAGGAAGAAGCAGCATTATTTGAACATTGAGTGATGCAGGGGAAATGACGCAACTGAACATTTAAGGTTCTGTAAGACAAAAAGAATCAACTGTTCCCTCACCACCAAAAAATAAAATAGAACACTATGCCCATTGCTATGTTAACAGAATAGAATGCCCTTGAATTATAAGTCTTGTAAATCACTCTAAACCCATGAACTGAGGACATTAAAATATATCAAATAAGTGTCAAGTTATAAGGAGAAAACAGAAAGTGAAGATTAAAATGGCTGATGAATATTTCTTCCCTTCCCTCCTAAAAAATCATGAAACAAAAGCTACACTACAAACTGAGGTAAATATCCACAAACAATTGAATATGTGTAAAATTACATTGAGTCCAAAATTCAAAACTGAAAATGGAAATGTGAGAGGGTAGACAGAATCATCTCAGAAGTGAAAATTAAATGACATGGTGCCCAAGGGAGAATAAACTCAAATGGAAATTGAATCATTAATATAGAATAATGATAGGAAGAATAATGACTATAGAGGAAAGACAGGAAAACAACCAAGAGAATGAAAATAAGCTGGAGATATATGTGAAAAGGGCCAGAGAGAAAATGACTGCAACAGAAGATAAGCAAAGAAGAAATAACATACATAAAATTGGAGTCTCTGGAAAGAGTAAAACAAAATAAAGGGTAGAACCAACATTTATAACTATAGTCAATAAAAGAAAATCTGAATTGATATATAGAAATGGCCTAAAGACTATATTGGAAAATTGGCCCAGAATAATCAACTCTGAGATCTATCTCCTCAAAACTATTAGCTTTTAAAGCTAAAGAAAAATTCCTTCAGGTCTCAAAATGAGCAAATAACTCACAGAAGTAAGAGAATTAAACCAGCATCAGACTTCTGAAAAACCTATAAAGCAAGGCAATAATGGAAAAGCATTTTTAATGAAATTCAAGGAAATAAAGTGTGAATCAAAAACATCATCTAGTCAAGCTCATTCTCAAGTATTAAGGCTATCGAAAAATTCAAGGTTTTTAAAAATATAGGGAATTGGGTACTCATCAGGAGTTTTTGTGGAATGAAGACAATGAGTTTTATCCAATCAAAAGACAACTTTGGCAAAAATGCTGATCTTCCTGTTTCTGTTTCCACGTGTAAGGAGCTTGGGAGTCTCCAGTCCGTCCTAACAAGTAAAAATCTGAACAGACTGAAAAATCACCTCTTTTTTGATCCATAAAAGAGGTGAGGACATAGGGAAAACCACAGCCCCCAAGACTGGGGAGACAGGTGAATACAGGGAGTTTGGCTTCTGAGAATGGAGACCCAGGAGCAGAAACCACCATGGGAACAAGTGCCCAGGCAGGAAAACCTACACTATAACTGATAAATCGCTGGAAACTCAGTATGGACAACCCTGAGAGTCAAAACTCCAGGGGACCCAGTCATGGGGTGGGGGTGGGGAGATAATATTGTAAGGTTTCCTTCCAAAAACTCAACCAGTAATTACTGAAGAAAAATCCCATAGTAAATATTAGAGAAAAATCCCCTCATGGTTCCAGCAGAGGGAGGGGAAAAAGAACCATTTGAAATATGCCAGAGCGCTGCCCTCGGGAAGCCAGCACTTAGGGGAAGCTCTTAACCACAGGCCAACTATCAGAGCCTAACTGACCTGGGGGAAAAGAAATACACAACTCTGACCCGTCTAGCCATCCTGTCCCATTGAAAGAGAGAGAGAAAATGAGAAACGCTTATGACATTCACAGTCCAGAGGCATAGGCTCGCTCAAAGACAGACCTAATTATAGCAATAAAGAATGTTTCTCCTCCCCCCACATCTCAAAGTCGTCTTACTAAGGACATATTTACAGCGGTTCCTTTTATCCAGTACATCATGTCCAGCTATTCCAAAAATGAAAAAGTATACCAAGTGAAAAGAAAGAAAAAAAACACACAATTTGAAGACAGAGCAAGCATCACCACCAGATGTGGGCAGGGATATTGGAAATATCAAGCCCAGAATTTAAAACAACTGTGATTAATATGCTAAGGGCTCTAATGGATAACATAAACAGCATGCAAGAACAGATGGGCAATGTACATAAGCAGAGAAATGGAACTCCTATGAAAACCAAAAAGAAATGCTAGAGATAACAACAACACTGTAACAGGAATGAAAATGCCTTTCATGGGCTAATTAGATTGGAAACAGCTGAGGAAAGAATCTCTGAGCTAGAGGATATATCAACAGAATCCTTGAAATCCAAAAAGCAAAGAAAACAATGCCTGAAAAAAAAATAGGACAAAATATCCAAGGATTGTGGGACAACTTCGAAAGGTGTAACATATGCATAATGGAAAAACTGTGTGATTCCAACTATATGACATTCTGGAAAAGGACAAACCATGGAGATACTAAAAAGATCATGGTTGCCCAGGGTGAGGAGAGGGGGTGTGAATAGGTGGAATACAGACGACTGGTAGGACAGTGAAAAAACTCTCTATGATTCCATAAGGATGGATGCAACACCAAAAGTGAACCATATGTAAATTATGGACTTTGAGTGATTATGATGTTTCGATGTAGTTTCATCAATTGTAAAAAATGTACCACTCTGGTAGGGCATGTTGATAACCGGGAGGCTATGCATATGTGGGAGCTGGGGTTTATGGGAAATCTCTGTACTTCCCTTTCAATTTTGCTGTGAACCCTAAACTGCTCTAAAAAATTAAATCTTAGTAAAAAAGACTAATGGTGAATATTTAATATATTTAATTGTAGATTTAAGGCTAAAACTGAAGTAGAGACAAGAATGGGAGACTAATGTATAAAGGTTGTATGTTCTAGTAAAATAGAAATAATTCAACATTAAAAACAAAAAGAAGGAAGAGAATAAGAGAAAAGTAGAATACATTTATTCATTGATTTTGAGATATAAGTGGGAATTAAAGAATAGTAAACCCAGCAAATCAAATGATGAAATGTTAATAAGGAAATGGGTGACTAATGGCATTAAAAAGTCATCACATAGAGAAACCAAAAACACACAAAATAACCATAAAACACATAAAAATAATATAACCAAGTTGAGATCAAATATACCAGTAATATAATGAACTGTGAATGTGTTCAACTCATCTATGAAAAGAAAAATATTTTAAATTTAGCTCACAAGGGAAGACAATATGTTGTATTTAAGAGAGAAAAATGAAACGACGTGATTCAGATGAAGGGATAGTCAGTGGTGTAGAGGCGAATGTAAACAATAAGAAAGCAGGTCTTGGGAGCCTTTGAGTCGGGATTATACGTTTCTATGCTCCCACTAGTACAGGAAACGCTTCTGTCATGAAGAGATGCAGTAAAACATCAATGGAACATAAAGAGAGACACCTGAATGCCATCATAGGAATAGGCAGGAATCTCCAATGCATATTTCTTTATTTCTTTATTGATTTTAGAGAGAGAGGGAGAGAAAGATAGAAACATCAATGAGAGAAAACATCAACTGGCCTCCTCCTGCATGCTTCCCACTAGGTATTAGGCCCACAACCTGGGCATGCGCCCTGACTGGGAATCGAACTGGTGACCTCCTGGGGCATGGGTCGATGCTGAACCATTGAGCCACACCAGCTGGGCTCCAATGCATATTAAAACAAGTATGAAAAGCATGAAGAGAAACCAGATACTGTCTCAAAATACTGCTGTATAAGGTATCTGTTGATTTCAAGGGGGCAAATAGTAAGTGTGCAGCAAGCAAGACTGACAGATGCCACCTTAGCCAACTTGTTAACGTTACCAGTAATGGAACAAATCGACAATCTGTGCCTTCTGACATGACGCACTGAGAACACCCATCACTTCTGTGGCAATACTGCCAAAACGTGCAACTGAATCTTAGCATTGGGAAGTATAAAAAGCACATAAAAATGAGACATAGTCTTCAAAAATGTAAGACAAAGATTGAAGAATTGTTACAGATTAAAGGAAACCAAAAGGTATAACAAAATGATATCCACAATCCTGGATAGGATAGTGTACCAGAAAAAAAACCCTTTTTCAAGACTATACTTTCAGGGATCATTTCTGTAGTTTGTTGCTAGAGAAGTTTCTCTGATCACGTAGAGCACCCAAAACCCTGAGGAGGAGAGACAGCGTTCTGTCCCGAGCGTGAAGCTGGCTCTCAGTGTTGCTTCAGCAACTGGCATCTGCCATTGATGATCATTCTTTTTCTCTCCTCGGAGAGAATGAGAGGAAAAGAATGAGTTCTGAGTGGCAAAAAAAAAAAAAAAAAAATTATATAAAAGACGTTAAGGAAAAATAGCAAAATTTGTATAAGGTCAATAATTAGATAATAGTATTCATATTCATATTAATTTCCTGATTTAGATTATTGTACTATGGTTATGTAAAAAAAAGTCCTTTTCTGGCCCGTGTTGCTCAGTGGATAGAGCATTAGCCCATGCACCAACCCTCACACCAAAGGGTCAAGGTTCATTTCCCAGTCAAGGAGCATGTACCTGGGTCACAGGTTCAATCCCCAGTGCCCCAAAGGGGTGCCTGCAGGAGGAAACCAATCAGTGTGTCTCTTTCACATCAATGTTTCTCTCTCTTCCCCTCCCTCCCTCCCTTTTACTTTCTCTAAAAATCAATGGAAAAATATCTTTGGGTGAGAATTAAAAAGAAAAAGAAAAGAAAACATCCTTGTGTTTAGTAAATATACCTGAAATACTTAAGAGTAAAAGTCTCTCTTGTCTTCAACTTTCTCCCAAATGGTTCATAGTAAAATAATATACATAAGAGAATGATAAAGCAAATATAAGTTAAAATTTAGGAAATTTTGGTGACAGATATATGGAATTCTTTGCACTGTTCCAGCAACTTTATGTGGATCAGAAATTATTTCAAAATAAAGTTTTCAAATCATATTTTTTATTTTTTAAATCCTCACTGGAGGATATTTTTCTGTCTATCATCAGATAGAGTGGGAGGGAGGGAGGGAGAGGAAAGGAGAAAGAGAGAGAGAGAGAGAGAGAAGCATCAACATGAGAATGGTTGCCTCCTGCACGACCCTGACCAGGGCCAGGGACGAACCGCAACTGAGGTATATGCCTTTGACCAGAATCAAACTCGTGACTCTTTGGTCTGCAGGCCAACGCTCTAACCGCTGAGCCAAACCGGCCAGGGTTCAAATCATATTTTGAACATGTTGGTGGAGCTTTCCACTTCTGGTCCCCCATTGTGTTTCCTCACCTGTGTGATCACATATCAGAGACACTGAAGTCAGATCAAAGGAGATACAAGTTTGACATCGTTTCTTCCTCTCAATGTTTGATCTAAAGAAATAAACAGTAGAAAGAGTCTGGAAGAAAAGATGAGAGCCTATTAAAAGGAAATAAATGAATAAATAACTAAATGTAACCATGTAGGGTGTGTGCTATTTTATGTAATTAAACTTTCTACTCCTAGCCATTCTCCATAAAGTATGACTAGCATGGGTGTGTTGGGACTCAGCAAGTCCACCGATCATCTCTACTTTTCCCTGGGACAATGTGCAGTCATTTGCAAAAAGTCTTGTTAGGAAAAATAAGGAAAGGCTGTGTAGTTCAGCCAGGGAGTCATGGACCAAGACTAACTGCCTTTCATAGGCATTGAACTATGATAATGTGTATTGACACAGGTACTAAGGGACTGAAATGATGGGAAATTATTGTTTTGATTTGAAAAAATGTGAGGAAGGAGAGGTTGTAGCCAAGTTTAAGAGAGGTGAAGGAAAGGGTTTTATTAGGGGAAATTATGAAAGACATTTGGAATAAGAGACTTGCCACTACAGAGGCTTTGATTGTAAGATTAAGCAATTCATTCTGTAGATATACTAAATATTTTCACCTTTGCTCAAAAACACTTTAAGACATAAATTTTCAATTTGAAACACAGACATTGTCTCTTGCCATATGATTAGTGATGTGTAAGTTCACTGTAAAGCTAAAAAAAATTACAAGTTTGCTTTCTTTCAGTCATAAGGAACAGTTCTTCAAAAGTCACATTTGAAGATTGTATTTTTTATTTTAATTTTGCAAAATAATCTATTAACTGCTCCTTGACATCAAGGATGGTAACTTCCCTTACTTACGTATCCCCAGATCAAAGCATATTGTTGGACACAGAGAGGGCATTTGTGTTGGTCCGTTTGTTTGTTTAGTTATATTGAATTGAATTCTGTTCAGGAAAAACATAACTTCATTTATCTGTTTATAATATTCAGGAAACCATAAAGACAGCATTTGAATCTGCCCAATTATATGCAACAACATTTGAAAAGTTCCAGCTATTCTTCAAGGAAAATGAAAGTCTTGATTTACAAGCTCTTAAACTTCAGGAACCTGGTAACTTTTCTAATTTTCCTTACTAATGATTTTTCATAGAGACGTGGAGGTTTACAGTCTTCTAGGTTTGCTTGGTGGTGAATGTAACAGAAACGGTAGCCCAAAAGAGTTGGCCTGACAAAAGGCAAGAGTTTATTCATTTCTAGGTTATTTTCTGTAGAATTACTCTTCTCTTTACTGGTTTACTGTAGAGCATTACGACAAGCAATTCCTTCCTTGTCATAATGACTTTTCTTAGTGGGAAGTTATATCAGTGCTAAGGGTATATAGCCTGTACATGAGAAGGAGTTGAAAGGAATGTTTATCTCTACAAATTCCTTTAAATAATGTGTACATATGTGTATTTCTAGCCCAGGAATTCAAGTTACTCTTTATTTCTGTGGTCATATTGCAACCTGGTGGGTATGAATCGACAACTTTTAGTCCTGAAATTAGACCCACGGGGAAATAATTGTATGAGGCTTATTATCTTTTACAAAAGAAAATAATGTACAATGCCCAAGTGAAATTTCAAGCAAGGAAGTTTCAAGATGATTAAGAAAATTAAGTTCATATCATTTATTACTATTTAAAAATGTGAAATATATCATTTATATTCCTTTATTTTGTGAACTGCTGTTATTGCTTTATTTGCTTGTACAGAAAAGTTATTACTTTGATATTTGCCTCATGAACCAGTACTAATTTTTTAACATAAATTTTATGGTTTTCTTTCGACCCGTTATTTTTATTGTGCTAAAGTAAATTGGACATTCCATCGCTAAATTAAATACTTCAATATGCATCTCTAACATGTTCCTACAGAAGAACCAAAATAATACCACGCCGAAAAAATAATAATAATAGCAACCTCTTGATATCAACATGTAGTCCATATTCAGGATCCCCCAAATAAAGCCATTTGCAGCTGGTTTGACCCAGAATCCAGTCTAAGAGCAGACATAGCATTCAGTTAAGTCCCTGAGACTTAGTGTGTGCAGAACTGACGTGAACGGATGGGGACACGACGCCGTGCATGCTGTCGTATGGCACCATGGCGGGAGTGACGTGTGGAGCCTGACATTTCAGCACGTGAAGGTGGCCACACCCAAATAACCGATTCTAGTCGCTGAGATCTTCCACTCATTGCCTGGAGCCCAAGGCCTCCCAGCCTCCTGCACCACCTCCTCAAGTTCCCATCAGGACGAGATCACCAGACCCCCAGGTTTCCCTTAACCTGTCCTGCCTTGGTTTGTGGATCCTGTCCCAGTCCGGGAACCAGTCTCACCGGTATTGACCGTTTGTTGGCGGGGATGTTGGAGTACCTTGGCCTGGGCTTCTGAAGGCTGTGTTCCTCCTGCTTTTGGAACACTCTGGTACTTTCTAAACCTCCAAAGCCTGTTGTTTGCGAGAGGTTAATAGAAGGTAGCTTTGCCCCTTGGGTACCATGCCTTGCCTGTTACCACATTACCTCAAAATACTATAACATTGCCTTGGACATATTATAGATAATAAATATCTGTTTAACTGAGCTTTGAGCCAGAGTGTCCCCTGACCAGCCCCAGAAGATGATCAGGGGGCAGGTTCTGGATTCCTGACATAGTCAACCATATCTTACCACTACGTTTCCATAAAGACAGTGCTTACTAATAATTCTGTACTTTTTGAGCACTAATGACTTGACCGATACTGTGCTAAGTGATTTTCAGGTATCTCACCCAATCCTTACAGTTCTATGTATGTGGTGCGTATCAGTGTTCTCATTTTACAAATAAAGAAATGAAACTATGTAGAGATCAGGAAACTGCAAAATCACAGCCAGTAAGCGATTTAGAAACACCTTTCTCTGACCCGAAAGCTTGTGTGCTTAACCATTGCACGTACTGCCTGTCGATCTCAAAAAGAGAGAGGAAATCTTACTCCTCTTCTATCAGCTTTACTCTCTTGTTTCTCTTTGCCTGTGTGGCCATGGCCAAAGTGAAACATGGTTATTTGATCAATAACCTTATTGATCTAAATATCTTTATATATAAAATGAGAATATTGGACCAAATTGGTGTTTCCCAAACTGGTATTCCCTGGAATACTATTAGAAAGAATAATTACACGATACTATGTACAAAGACTCTGTGTTGGCCATGGCCAGGTGGCTCAGTTGGTTTGAGCATCATCCTGTACTCCAAAAGGTTGGAGGTTCAATTCCCAGTCAGAGCACAGACCTAGGTTTCCGGTTTGATCCCTGGTCAGGGAGTGTGCAGGAGGCAATCAATTAGTGTTGTTGTTTTTTTCTCACATCGATGATTCTCCCTCTCTCTCTCAATCAAATCAATAAAAATATATCCTCGAGTGAGGATTAAAAAAAAAAAAGCCTGTGTTCAAATAAGTTTGAAAAATACTAGACTAAGCAACGTTAAACAAGTTTCCTTATCAGAGGACTTCTCAGATTATTTGACATCCTTGTTTTGTCAGTTCTGAAAAAAACACGTATCAAAAACTTTTGAAGTGAGTAAGGTAATTGTCCTTTTTCTGTTAAGAGGAAGATTAAGTGACTAACACAACGCTACGAATGGGTTAAAGACTGATCCTGGGTCTTCAAGCATTCTGTCTGGTGTGTTCTTTATACTATGTCAAACTCCCACTGCATTCAGCAGAGGAGATGACAGGAATAAAGGCAGGAATCTACACCCTTGATTTCCAGGATGCACTAAGGAGATCACTCTGACCCAAGTGGAAGAAGCAATTGGAAATAAAGTTAGCTCAGTTTGAGAGACTGCAGAACTTTGAAGGACAAGCAGAGCAGTTTAGTACCGTATGCATATTAGAAAGAACTGTGTTTGACCAATAGTGTGATAAAGTGTATTCAAGAATGTTCGGGCTTCCACTGATTTCAGGCAGAGTGGAGAAGGGAGAAA